ACATGGAGGGGCATTTTGGTAAGTTCAACGTCTAATTCAATGTTGTTGTTTGTCTCCGTTAGCGTCTTCTTTAACTGTCCTTCATCGATTGATCCAAAATCTCGGTTGTTCTTCGAAATCAACCTTTTTCATGCACTTTACTAATAGTTTCTTCAGATTTCAGCTAATAATCAGGTATTTTTAATATATATTCATCTTTCGTTTATGATTCTTAGGTCAATTACGATGCATTGTTTATCAACTTATTTTTATTGTTATTGTAATCGTCTATTGTGAAATTCTATTGATTTTACCGTTTAATCTTCATATTGTTATGTTTTTATTGTTAATTTGCTATTTTATGTCGTATGTTGAATTTGCGTTTGATGTTACTGCTTTTCATTCGACCATTTTTGTAATCATTCGTTTGTAATGCATATTCGACATTTAAATAATCAATTATATCTTGTGCATCTTCTGACATTTAAGTTTTTTCCAAACTTTTAGTAATTTTGAGAATCTTATCTTATCTTGTGCATATATTTTAAAGTTTTGTGATTATCTTGTTTATTTGTTTCCTTTTTTGTATAATTATCAATTCTAAATTTTTAATCTATATATAAACTCTAGGTTACCGACGATTCATTATGAGTTCTTTGAATTCTTGTTCAGATTTGCATTCAACTATTAATGAACAATCACGTAAGTTTTTTTTTTCTTAATATAAATTTCACATTTTCTATGTAATGTAATAAAATATATGTTTTTTTTTGGTTTTGCAGTTCATGATCAGTCATCTTCAAATATGAATACTGATCATTCAAATGATAGTAATTCTTGTTCATATTTGCATTCAATTATTAATGAACAATCACGTAAGTTTTTTTTCTTAATATAAATTTCACATTTTATATATAATGTAATGAAATAGATGTTTTGTTTAGTTTTGCAGTTCATGATCAATCATCTTCAAGTAGGAATATTGATCATTCAAATAGCAGTAATTCTCGTTATAGTTTTGATTTTGAGCTCTATAATACTGGAAGTTTTAAGCTTGTTCCTTATGATAAGTTGATACATAAGAAGCCTTTCAAAGGATTGTTGTTTGATTCATTGGACATTGTTCTTGACTTTTATAAGACTTATGGTCAAGAATGTGGTTTTGATGTGAATATGTCAAGTCAAAAAAGATACAATGATAGCACAATTCATATTATATATTCGACATGTAGTAGATCTAGTTTCACGGAGTCATTCAAGAATGAAAATGTTAATGTGAAATATTCAGATGTTAAGAGAATGAGAACTTCTTCTACGAAGAACGAATGCCCTGCTCTTTCAAAGTTCAAAAATCTTTGATGTTCTTTAATGTTCTACATTTATGTGTTTGTTGAAGATCACAACCATGAGCTTGTTGCTCAAGATCAGTTGCACTTATAAAGGATTAATAGGATAATGGATTTTCTTGATGAATGCTTTATACATAAGGTTGGTACTTGTAACATTGGTGCTTCAAAAGCTTATAACTTGGTGAGTAGTATGAAGGGTGGCTTTGATTATAGGGGAGGGACTGTAGTTGACTTTAAAAATTTTCATAGAGATTTGAATTGTAAAATTGGTGTTAAAGATTCCCAAATGGTTGTGGATATATTGACAAACAGAAAATTGTGTTTCTCTAATTTTTCATTTGAGGTTCAAAAAGATGTTGATGATCATCTTACTGGACTTTTTTGGGCTGATGATACTTCGAAAACCAACTATAAGGAATTTGGAGATGTACTATCTTTTGATGCTACTTATCAAACAAACAAGTAATTCATAATCCTTATTTGTTTTTTTTATGGTATTTGTTCTTTTTAATAATACCTATAAAAAAAATTCAGGTATTCTATGGTATTTGTTCTTTTTACTGGAGTTGACTACCACAAGCATTGTGTTACTTTTACTGCTGGTTTACTAGCTCGTGAGATAGCAGATGCATATGTGTGGTTGCTTGAAGTGTTTCGTAAAGCATTTGTCAAGCCTCCCATGATGATTGTAATAGATCAGGATTCATCAATGAAGAAAGTTGTTAATTTTGTTTTTCCTGAATCGAAGCATAGACTATGCATGTGGCACATCACTCAAAAACTTGAGGAAAAGGGTATATTTTTTTTGTTTCTTGATTCCTATATATGTTTATAACCATATAGATCATAAAGCATATAGTGAATTCACAATGTAAATTTTCATATGATGAAAGGAACAAATCTAAATCATAAATCACACTGTGAATTTATAATGTGAACCAAATGGTATATTAATATTAATTACATCAAATATTCAACATATGTAATGATTCTTATGTGTTTCTTTTTTTTTTTAGATTCCTATCGATGTTTATAACCATTCGGACTTCCAGAAGACATTTTTTGATATTATATGGAACCTTCAATGTTCTCCACAAGATTTTGATAGTTCATGGTCAACAATGTTAGATAAGTTTCAGCAAAAAGAAAATGACTGGTTAAGGTCTATTTTTTAAAATAAGGGATGTATGGATTCCAGCTTTTATGAGAGATCTTGAACTTTCTGGTTTGATGCGAACTACTTCAAGATTAGAGAGTCTGAATAATGCTTTCTCACATTTTTTGCATCATAAATCAAATTTGGTGAAGTTCATGATGTCGTTTGATAGTGCAATGGAGAAGCAAAGGCATCATCAATCTTTATTAGATTATCAGTCCACAACTACTACCCCCAAGCTAAGGACTCCTTTGGTTATTGAAAAGCATGCATCGGAAATTTATACACATAATATTTTCTTGGACATTCAGAAAGAGTTATATAAATATATGTTTTACTGTGTTCAAGAATCTGTAGTTATTGAAGATGAAAGTGAAGTTTATTCTTTGAGAGATAAGAAGAAAAAAAGTCGATTGATAAAAATGTGAATGAGGATGAAGAATCTGATGACTTTTATCGAAATAGTCTTACTTCTCATTGTCCTAATACTCGTTACAAGGTATGTCTCTTTGTCCTAATACAGTTTATTAAATATAAAATGTAGTTTCAAAATTCACACTGTGAATGTAGGATGTTTTGCTAATTAATAGTGTGAATTTTTACAGAGTTATAAATTGGTTTGTACTTTTCATTAGATTAGTATTGAATATGTTTTTTTTTGTGAATTTGATTTGAAGTACATATTTATATTATAGTATTATGATTTCTAATGTCTTGTTGATTAATAATGTGAATTGATGTTAATGTGTATAATTTTTATCGAATAATATGAGATAGAATTTCTTATTCACATATTAATTTTTGTTATTAATGATAATTTTGTAGGTTGTATTTAGTAGAAGGGGTGATAGCATTTGAATCAGTTGTAGCTGCATGCTTTTTGTCCAGGATAGATTTTTATGTCGTCATATGTTTTTCATATTAAATATGAAAGAGTAAGATGAAATTCCATCAAATTTCATTTTGAGGAGATGAGGAAAAGATATCATAGCTGATGGATTGTTGAGAAAAAGTACTCATATCCTCATAAAGGCAGTAAAAATGAATGTTTGATTCAATATGCATATGCTATTCTTCGTTTGTCTATTAACAAGATAGCAAATAATGAGGATGAGTTGGCTAAATATATAAAGCAACTTCAGGAAGTTGATAGTGGTATTCCTTTATGTACCTCATCAAGGGCATCTTCAAGTAGATCAGTTCACATTGAAAAACTTATTGGAGCTGCAGTACCTGATGTTATCAACATTCATAATCCAGAGCGGATCAGAAACAAGGGATGTGCTAGTGATAAAAGAATCAAGAGCACTAGAGAGAAAGTGATTGAGAAATCTAAAAAGGGTACTAGGTTGTCTAGTTTATGTCATAAACAAAATCACAATGCTAGGAGATGCATTTTAAGGTTTAAGAAGTCTGATTTAGAATCTGAGGTTACAGAAGGCTAATTCTATTTGTTTTTTTTTCTTTTTAAGACGAGTAAAATAAGATTTGATATTTGTAATGATCATTCAATGGATAGAAATGTTGAAATATTGATGTTAATTTTGATATTAATTATTTTAGAGTTTATTTCTAATAATAGAATATATTTTTTTCAAATTTTTTGTTTTTGGTTAAAGATATTTTTTTATTCTTAGTTTTTTAAATATTTTCTAATAAAAATTACATGCTAATGATTTAATTTATGTATATTAATTATCATTGATAATCTCATATATAAAAATTTTCATGTCAAAGATTGTCTTAATGTAATTTAATTCACATTGTGAATCTCAACTATTAATTGTTTTAATGATCTATATGTATCATAATTCACATTGTGAACCTCACATATAAAATATACATGTTATAATATGTACTGTAATTCACATAGTTAATCTTACAAATAAAATTTTCACAAGGTTAACATATAAATAATGAAAATTTTGTACATATATTGTATTGTTATTACATTAACATTTAATCATTTAGACCAAAAGAAATGAAGTAAATGTATGAAATGACAATGTACTTTCAATTCTTTATTCAGAGTAGAAATATAATCACTTCCCCCCACCCACACACTAATATCATATTTTTAATAAAACATGTAATTGTATAACATACATGTAGACATTCACATGAAAATATAAACATCTTATAAGTATTTAGTAAAGTTCATTATATTTGATATAGACACTAACATAAAATTGTAACATAACAAGCATGTATGTGTTCTTAAAGAAATTAAAGTGCATCTAAACGTATACTAATAATGAATAGAAAACTAAGTTTTAAGTTTTACACTTCTTTTTCCAATCTTTGAAGTACTATATCCTTTCTCCCCTTTTTTCCCATCCCTTGTCGAGAAAATCTTTTATTTCTTCATTAGTCTTTTTTGCAAACTTAGTTGTTTGTGCAATGATTTTTAACCTATGTGTGTTTGCGTCACTCAATACTATCTTTGTCAAATACTTAATGCGTAAATCGTTTAACATACTTTGTTGTTGTTTTAATTCTTTTGGCAATCCACATGTCTAATTTATTGTTTTATCTCCCATATATGTCTTCATATGATGCATGCAAAAAACTCCATAGTCAACATGATTATCCCTCGTGCGCCAATTCATGTTCACCCTTTCTGGTTCAACACCCTCCAAAGTTAAAGCTGATTTGTGATTGACCCTCATCAAGTACCTTCTAAAAAGTATTTTCTGCAAGAAAGAAATTGTCATTTTCTATAGTTATTATTTTATTTAGATTATCTGTTTATTAATACTTATATTTATAATGTAAATTTAATATTCTTACCAATTCATTAGGTGCATCACGATAAGCTCTAGAAAACTTTGCACTTGAATTCCAATTGTCAATGACATCAACCGCTGGTTCTTCTAAGTTTATGCAAATGATGTAAAAGTAATTTTTTTTATGAACTGGTAAAAACACCTATTTAATAATTTAAATTGTTAAAATTTGTTAAAAATATGTAATATATTCAACAAAAAGAACAGTTTATTAACAAGTGAACTTTTTCAAATGTCAGAAGCTCTTTGTCCTTTTTCATTGAATCTTTGATATTTGACTCAAATGTATCAAATCTTTGATTGAAAGGGATATTTTTGTCAAATATGAACTATCTCTGCAAAAAAAAAAATTAATATACATCAATCTTTAAAGAGTAAATTGTTAAATTCACAATAAGTTAAATTTAAAATTTAAAATTATTAACACTGTAAATTATAATGGGATTAATTGTGTGAATTTTATTACTTATTCAGAACTCATGAAAATTGTATCTATTATATTATCACTATTATCATGATATATATTTTTTTAATTAACTTACCACAATTGATGTATCAAAGAAATATCGATTCACTGTAGAATTTGATTTAAGCTTTTCTTCATAGTTCAAAATATCAGTCCAAGCATCAATGACATGTGCATGTACCCATAATCCTATTTGCATTTTTTCAATCATTCCTCTTCCAAGCACATACCCTCTCTTAGTCTGAAATACATTCTCATTTAATTCGTAATCAAATAAAACAAAAAACTAGTTATGTGTATTTTATATACTATTGTATTTAAATAAAAGATAACATGAATTATTACCTTCTATTACCAATTCTGGAAAAAAAATTCTATGTGACACTTTTACTTCATCTGGATCTACAAATTTTGATGCAAAGACCTGTTTTTTTTTTATTATAAGGAGAAGATAGCTTCAGTGATGGTTTATTTAATATTTTTCCTACTTCTCTTTTTTTGTCTTCATCATCTTCAATTCTCAAGATATTATTGTCACATTCTGTTTCTTCTGAATCATAACTTTCTCCTTCATCAAGTTTTTCATCTTTTATTTCTTCCTTCATGTGTTCATCTTCACTGCTTTCATCTCCTTCCTGAAACTCTTGTGTTAGACCAAGACCAAGTCCAAGTGAAAAACTAGGCATTGATGATTTTCTAGTATTTTTTTCTTTTTCTTTTTATCATCTATTTTTTGTTCTCTAAAACTTTTTACATTTTCAAAATCATCATAATTATCAAAATTTAAAATACATTGAATAGAATCAGCAATCTCATGCACTATTGGATCATTGTACAAATTTTCTGGTGTTACCATGATTGTTTGATTCTTTATTTCATGTTCATTCAAATTCTCTTCACTTTTTTTTCATCTTCATCCCTATCACCTTTTGCATCATCTTCATTTTGAGTGTCATAAATGAATTCTTTTTCAAAGATTTTCTTCATATCCTTCAACTCATCGCTTTATGTGAATTTTGTTGTTGAAAACTCAATTAACTTTCCAAACTTAATTTTATCATTCACTAGTTTTTTGTAATCCTTTTTCGCTTTGAATACCAATTCCTGCGAAATGAGATAAAAAATGTCAAAGAAAATGATTTTTTTTAGACTTTTTTCTATAATAAATTACAGTTTCAGAATATGAATGCATTGATGAGGTATCACATTTTTAATGCATTTTAATAAATTACATATTTACTTTGTGAGTTTATTATTGAGAAAGTAATAAAATACACTTTTATATTCACAATGTGAATCACTTTATGAATTTTATTTTAACTACAATTGTATAACATATATATGTAATTTAACTTCATTTTTTTTAAATATATAGATTATTAACTTACATTGAGTTTCATATCTTCATTTTCATCGGTGTCGGATTCTTCATCATTCTCTATAGCATCATCATTCCATTCCAAAGTTCCAAAGTTACCACTCTTTAACTCAACTTTTTCCCTTTTCACCATCATTTCATAATCCTAAAAATGTAGTGCATGTATTTGTCTTTTTTCATTCTTATCATTTCTCATAAACTCCAAATAAACTAGCTGTTTATGTAAACAAAATTATGATTAATTAGTTTTCTTATAAAAATATAAATAAAAGTGTTATTTATAAGAATTTTCCTTACGAGTAGTACAAGAAGTGGCCCACAATAGTAGTTTCCACTATCGGGTTCATCCCATGTTGTCTTTGACATTTTCAAGCAATTAGTTATAAAACCACACCAATCAATTTCTCTCAAAGGTGTTTTGCCTAACAAATGTGACAATACTATTGTCTTACAAGTTCCAGGCTTATTCTGTTCACAAATGGTATTCACAAACAATAATACAAAGTTTGTTCTGAAAATAATCCCTAAATCTGATGATTCTTTAATTTTCTCTTCAACATTCGATGGTCTCATAGCCTTGAAATTGTATTGTTGCTTACAATCCATTAACTCTTTTCCTTCACATTTATCAGTGATATATATATATATATATATATATATATATATATATATATATATATATATATATATATATTTTCCACCTAGAGGAATTCCATGCAAATCATGAGTAAGTTATGATGTTATGTCTATCTTTGCATTAGGTAGATGGATTTTCATATCTGATAGATTGAATGAATTCACAAAAAAACGTGCCAATTTCCCAAAAATTCCATTGGTTACAATTCTCAGCAAAGATCCCAATCTCATTTCTCTGATGGCTTTTCTCTGTTCTTTGTTTATAGATTTAACAATATCATAAAACTTCTTTTGGCTCATTCTTGTTCTCAAACATACTCTGTCATTTGGATTTATTAGCACTTTTGCCTTTTTTTTCTTTGACTACTTCCAGAGTCTTTGTTTTTCTTTTTCTTTTTCCTATTAGTCAATAATTTTCATAAGCTTCTAATAATATAACATATATAATATAAAATAACTAACAATACAAGAAATTCACATGTGAATTTGTTTTGCAAAATATAATATATTACATAAAATAAACATGTAAATTTGTTTATAACTTTGTAAATTAAACATGTGAATAGTAATAAACAAACATGTTATTTTTTTCATCAGATTCTTTCTTTACAAGGCTATCTTCAACTTTAATAGGAGTCACCGATTTTTTGTATTCAATCATTTTAAGTCTTGGACTCTATCTGATTTCAGTTCATGTTTTAACAAATTTATAAAGAGTTAATTTTATAATACCAAATTCAATTAAAATTCTATAAATACTAACCTTAAGTTGTTTTCTTTTCAGATGTCTTGAAAACAGATTTTTCTTGCTTCATCGACTTTTTCGTTTTTGTTTTATGTAATCTTGGACTCTGTCTGATTTCTGTTCATTTAAAAAAAATAAAGATAATTGATTTTATATATTAAAGTAAATTATAATATTATAAATACTAACCTTGAGTTTTTTTCTTTTCAAGTGTCTTCAAAACAGATTCATCTTGCTTCATCATTTTTTTTTGTTTGCTTTTTTTGAATCTCATCAGCTTCTAAACTTTTTTCTTATTCAACATTTTCTTCAATAGTCTTTTTCATCTTCATTTTTTCTTAACTTATTAACTATTTCCAACACGGTTTTCCTTGCTGTGTTTTTGGCATATTTTTTTGAACCATCAACTACATAATGTGAAATTTTCAATATGAATGTCATTAATATAAGTAGTATTAATACATGTCAAACAATATAAAATTGAACATGTGATGCTCAAATTGCAAAACTTTTTAGAAATTCACATTGTGAATCTGTTAGGCTATGAGTTATATTCAAGATTCACATTGTGAATTTATGCATTTAACAGCAAAAGAGTTTGAGGTTCACCAAATGATGTACACATACACATGGTGAATTTTTACAATTACATTGTGCATAGTCAAATACAAACAAAAGTGTTGATCAACTTGCAAAATTAATATGTTTTTAAGAGATTCACATTGTGAATCTGTTTGAATGTGACATACACATCCAAGATTCACATTATGAACTTATGCATTTAATAGTCAAAGAGTTTGAGGTTCACCAAGTGATGTACACATACACATGGTGAATTTTTACAATTACATTGTGCATAGTCAAATACAAACAAAAGTGTTGATCACTTGCAAAAGCAAAAAAACATTTTTTTAACAGATGCACATTGTGAATCTGTGTGAATGTGAGATACACATCCAAGATTCACATTGTGAATTTATGCATTTAATGGCAAAAGTGTTTGAGTTTCACCAAATGATGTACATATACACATGGTGAATATTTACAATTACATTGTGCATAGTCAAATACAAACAAAAGTGTTGATCAAATTTAATTATATATATATATATATATATATATATATATATATATATATATATATATATGTTTTTAAGAGATTCACATTGTGAATCTGTTTGAATGTGAGATACACATCCAAGATTCACATTGTGAATTTATGCATTTAATTGCAAAAGAATTTGAGGTTCACCAAGTGATGTACACATACACATGGTGAATTTTTATAAATACGTTGTGCATAGTCATATACAAACAAAAGTGTTGATCAACTTGTAAAATAAAAAGAAAACATTTTTTTAACAGATTCACATTGTGAATCTGTGTGAATGTGAGATACACATCCAAGATTCACATTGTGAGTTTATGCATTTAACAGCAAAAGTGTTTAAGGTTCACCAAATGATGTACTTATAGACATGGTGAATTTTTACAATTACATTGTGCATAGTGAAATACAAACAAAAGTGTTGATCAACTTGAAAAAAAATGTTTTTAAGAGATTCACATTGTGAATTTGTATGAATGTGAGATACACATCCAAGATTCACATTGTGAATTATTTTTTTTTAATAAGTGTGTAGTATATGATTAGATAATTAGTTATTTTAATCTGAATACAAATGTTCTAACCTTTTTTTATCTTGAATATCTTCAATTTTTTCACTTGTAGTTGAAGGTAGAACATCTTTTAGACTTCTTGTCAATTTCATTCTTTTCTTATTATCCTTTTTTTCATTGATCTTTTCTTCATTTCCTGCTTTTGATTAACAAATTAATTCAAACATCAATTTCATGGTATGAAAGTTATGATTTATTCACATTGTGAATTCAGTTTGAATCAAAACATTACCAATGCAACTCTTTATAAATTTACAATGAGAAGCACAATAAGAGATACAATATGAATTAAATATAGATACATAATGTGAATTTCACAAGATGAGAAAATCAAATGTAAATGATAAATCACCCTGTGAATTCACAATTTGAATAAATGATATGTTAAATTGATATATAATAATGATTCACTTTGTGAATTGTCAAATAATATAATACTTAGAAACATCGAATCCTTTCAAAATAATCAAATGTAAATCACAAAGCACACTTTGAATTCAAAATGTGAAATTATTTTTTCAATTTGATTGATAAATTCAGAAACCACTTAGATTCACAAAGTTTTTAGGAAATTACAGTTTGTAATTTAGATATTCATGATTTCTGTATCGATTTGAAGAAATTTATATCATTAGGTTTTTGTTAATTATACGAATTCTCAAAAGTTCATGAAATTAGGGTTTCAATTTACTTAATAAACTCATATTCGAGTTAGATTCACAATGTTTCAGGAAATTTCAGTTTGTAATATAGATATTCATTAGGTTTTCTGTAACGATGAAATTTTCAAAACAAAATTTTCATTTTTCGACAACCATATTTAAGTAAAAATATTCTCAAAAGTATTCAACAATAGTTATCAAAACATAACATATCCCAAGATCACAAAGACCAAATCCATTCTCGGATGTATACGGGTCACATCGGTGCCTTCCCATGGTCCTCGCTAGTACCTGAAACACATAACACAACAACTGTAAGCATAAATGCTTTGTGACTTCCCCAAAATACCACATACAACACATACGCCACTCGAGGCTACTGTACGACCCTCTGGTCGATATGTGTCAGCGGGACCCTCCGGTCCTGTAGCTCGTTGGACCCTCTGGTCCGGTCATAGCTCGTTGGGCCCTCCGACCCGGTCTATCTCGTTGGACCCTCCGGTCCGGTATATAAAATTAAATATCATACATACATCACATAACACATAATTTCATATATGGCACACAATCTCATACATATCACAT